TCGTTTCCTCCGGGCCACGTTACCACAGTACTAGTCCAACAACTACTGTTCAGGCAAGCAAAACACGACTGTGATGCCCGTTTCTACCACAAAGCGATTGTCATCTGCATCTACGGACAAGCTTGGCGCCGAAAATTTACCACAAGCAGCAAACGAAGAGTCACAGATTCCTAAGTTAAAACAAATTTACATTAAATTTACTTTGCGACGGAAACACCACAGTCTGTTGTGGGAGAACAATGCGATCTGCAGGAATTGAAGCTTCTTGATTATCACAGGATACTGTACTTTACTGTAGCGGCGTTTGCGGTTCCCGATGCAGTTCGTTTCCGCGGTATCCATTGCCCGAAGGTCGCCTGCTTTGCTACGCACTTCGTCACACCGGCTGTTTCAAAGCGTGACTCGTAAATGTTCCACCGAACAAGAAAGTGTCGTTGCCAAGGTGCCTGTTCCTGCGGAGAAGCGGCTGAAATTCGACCAAATTACGCACACTGGCCAAGTAATTAAACGCAACCTTTCGATTGATTTCCGGTGTGATTGATGAGGCGTTAAGGCGTGGGACGACGAGGACATCAGGATGGCGCGATTTGTGGACGGTAAGAAGCTGGTCAATCCGAACATTGCCATGCATCTGATCGCTCAAGTGCCGCCTACGCCGTGCAAAGAACGTATCGTTTCCTGCGATGGCGGTGGTGGTGCACTCGGTCATCCGAAGGTGTACATCAACCTTGTAAGGTTTTCTTAGCTATCGTTCGCGATATCTTTGTATACGTAATCCAAAAGCGATCACCGTTGTGTCAGCGATAGGGTTCTGCAACTTTGGCGTCACTGAGTGTCGTGGGCCAGATCGGTTCTACACATGAGTTAAATTTCTGTGTTCGATCAACGCACAGACGTCGGAGTAAGACTACGTTGCGCCGCGTGACAGAATTACCAAATAGAGGTCACTGCCCGAACTAAAAGATGTATGCGTTTCGCTAATGTGTCTCCTTGTGTACCTATGCTTCACCAGTCCATTCTGAAGCCTCAGCAGGAGGTGATTTTGCAATCTTGAGGCGGTGTCACCGCAGTCATGAGATCTGAAAGATCGCCATACGGTCACATGCCTAAGGAGATTATTGTGCAGACTGTTTATGACAGTTCGGTCTCCTTTGCTGAATGGATATTGCAAGACATCACCCATCCATGTCGCGCAGATTTATCAGCTTGCTACTTTCCGATTAGCGCTATACGGATAAGCTTCATTTCCCGAACATAGGAACTGAGCTGTACAGAAAATCAGTATTGTCCTACTTAATGCGAGCCATCGTGTATCTTCCTGTCTTAAGGTGTATTCTGTTGCTTTCTATAGGTATTCTGTAATAATTGTATTGCTATTGTGTGCTGTACACATTCTGGTGCTGCAAGCAGATAGAAGAAACTTCCTGCATATAATGAATAAATTCTGAATACTTATCGAACGAGCATCTCTGTAAGATTTGAATGTCCCGAGAGTCGACGTATTACATCATTTCTAAATGACGAACCTTCCGCGTAAAATGGCTGTTGCTATGATGAACTGAACCGTTGGCTGTTGCTTTAAAGCTGTCATATTACTTCCGAGTGATATGCTGTTGGGCTGAACCCTATTTCGGTTACTCTCCCATGTAGCAGCCTTTGGATGCACCTGCCAGGCTACAGTGACTTCAGCATCGCTTATATGCGTTAGCTCTCTCATCATATGAAGGTAGCTATTCACAAAGCGGATGCTATAACGTCCATTTCGGAGAAGAACTAGCCATGTGTATAATTACAGTCGAAGGCGCGCAATCTGAGCATTTCCGTATTAGCTGTGCAGTTCGCCTTTGTCGTACAATGCTGTTCTTCACTTTCTGCTTCGGAACAGTGCTGATGATCGAAGCAAGGATGAAAGTCGCATTTTTAAAGAATGTACAATTCAGTATATTTGGTCGGATGTCTTGCTGCCCTCGAAGAAGCAGATTATGCTCTCCTGACAAGCAGTACTGCAGTCACGCATCATTGCCTGTATTATTGACAACCGGTCCCTTCCTTAGTATCCAAAAACTAAAGGCTATGAGAAACCGATCCGTCACAATAAATCTGCAGGTGCAGCGGAGCAAGGTCCTCAGAGCAGTAGAAAAGAAAGCCATTCATTTTAAATACTTCGGTTCTTTCATACCAGTCATTTTGAGATAGGTTGAAGAATCACTGTTGCTTCCGATAGTGTTGTAATATTTCGGCTGATAAAAGAATACTCCCTTTCTCAAAATCCGTTTTTCCTTCTCATAGTGAAATCAGGGACCACTGTTTGGGATGACAGTTGAAGAACGGCGGTTGAGCTACGTCTTCAAGTTCTGTTTTCGACACACAGTGTGGGTTCAGTGTCCGCACCATGTGAGGATCTGTGGCGGCCTTTTAAGGAAGGAAGCATCTGCATCTGGCATCCGGTTAAACACCTAGCGCACGACCGGGAAGAAATTTTCCAATCTTGAAAACTCATTGGTCCATTGCTAGTGTCATACATTGTTATAGGGCCATATCTGTCTACTATATGTATTGACGACGAAATTTGCGCATCTGAATCCTGTCGCTATGGATTCGCGGTCGAATGTCATAGATCAATTTATTCCTGCATGACGCAAGCGTATCCCGTGTAGAAATAGAGGCTGCAGAAAACAGGTTGGCTCTATGCGAACAGTTATTTAGGTGCGAGCGGTCATCGTAACAAGTGACATAGACTTTCTCCTTTGAGCAGCATGAAACACGCATCAACAGTTTTGGAGTAGGTCTGCCTTCTTGGAGGCATTAATTTTTCAAAGATATTATAGCCCCGTTCCTTGTAATTTAAGCTTTGAGACTCGAAATGCAACGGATGTCGTATTCATGTGTTGATGACTTTTCCGTAGCTGTGTAAACGTTAAAAACGACCAATAATATCTTTCCGTGGCCAGTTAGCTGCAACAGCTTTGGTTGTCTACTTCAGTGAGCTCTGATTTTTAAAAAAAACACGTTGGACGGACTCCGAAACATCGTCTACGGATTCTGCATGGCCATGTGCATAATCAGTCATTTGGTGTTACATTTCTTACTTTATACCAATGTGGATACACGAATTTACAGTTATTCAGAGCATAGCAGTCATTCACTTTTCTGATTCACCTGTCGATCGTCGCATCGTTCCTCTTGCTTCTGGTAGCCTAGTGGATCGTTCAAGCCGGCCACGGCTCCATGGTATTTTAGCTACAGTAGTGAATGAGATGAAAACAGCACCACTTACCGGGCCTAATTTTTGTAAGACGTTCCCATGGGTCGAGGTATGTTCGTTGATGTTCGACCCAACAAAGTTGTGCGGTTCAGCACCAGTGCACTGCAAGTGCTACAGGACCATCAAACTGTTGTATGCTTAAACAATCTTCTAAGCAGCTAGAAACAAGGGGGTGATGCGACTACGCCATGTGAATCCGAAGCATTGAAGAAGATGGTCATTTCTACCGGCGGTATTGAAAACCATCAGTTTGTTAAGAAAACCATAATACCCGGGTTGATTTGTGTTGAGAAAATAGTTACTAATGTGTAAAGTTGTCTGACTATCTGTGAGTGTACTGCCGCGCTCGTGCATGGTTTGGAAATACCTGCAACCTTGAAACATCGTGAAGCTTCCTTCGACAGTTTCCAAAAGCGCTGTATATCAAGTGTCTTTAACATGCGAAGATATCCATGTATCTCGGGTCACGAACAGGCGCTGATGGCCATCGATTTGGTGAAACAATCAGAAGGGGGTGGAAAACACAGGTTCTTGTCTTAGTTTCGTGAAATGATCAAACTGAGTATTGAAAAATGTTGGAAAATTTCCTCCTATGGGAATGTAGTGAGTTGAATGACGGTGCGGTTCGCGGAAACACCTCGTAATAGCTGGCATTTCTCTTGTACTTGACCGGTGTTAAGGATAGCTGGTTAAGAGAAATTTATCGATTTCAAGTCACCAAAATTGCGTCGGTCGGTAAGAGAAACTTCATTCTGGCAAGCATCTTCTCGTTGAATCCTGTTTAGTCATTAATTAATTAATTAATTCATTCATGCACTGATTGTCAAAGGTTAGACGCATATAACACCGTTTTGGAGTGCGTGTGGAACTGCGCCATACGCAATATCGGAATACCAGTCAGTTATAGTCCCTCTGTAGGCTCCTCGTAGTGTCGTATCTCGTTTGGATGCTTCTTTGGCTGTTCTGTTATTTGTTTTTGCGGCATGGCATTCGAACGGCTGAGGCAGTAGAATCTTTCGATGTAGCGCAAAGGCATTCACTGATTGGCTTCAAAATGTTCAGATGAAACATACAACTGGCGTACATTCTGAAGAGGGTCTGTGAAGTTAATAGGAACATGCATACTTTCAAACAGACATATCTGCATGCATACATATGTACGCGCTTACGTGCATGCTTACATACGTACGTACATATATTCATTCATTCATATATACACATATATTTATGCATGTATAGATACATGCACGCCTGCATACATAATACATGCACACGTACATACGTACGTTCATACATACATATGTACGCATACAAGTTTATTAATTGAATTGAATTTCAGAAAATTTCGTTTTTCAGCAGTTGTACAGAAGAACTGGTAAATAAAGGTATTGCACATTCCATTGGAATAAATACAGAAAAGTTAGAAGGAAAGTTTATAGCCGTTGGAAAATCGGTCTTTGCAATTTCTTAATTGGCTGTTTCTGGCGCTCTTCTTTCCGCGAAGTGAACAGTCGACGGTTGATCCCCATTTCCATGCCACCAGCCAGTATTACCTGATTTCCTTATTTTAATGATAGAGTCGACGCAGCTATGTGGCAAGCAGTGTGTAGTTTGCTGTTTGCTTCCCACAGAGTTGTGAGGAAGGAAGAAAAGCGGTGACCCTGATTTGTACCTGATTCCAGGATGCTCTGGTTCGGGGTAAATGCTTTGCCGACTGAGCAACCCGGTCTGAAGCGTGGCTTAATAAATTCCTTGCTCAAGCGCTTTCGTGATTGAGACAAGGATTATCCTCCGCCGGGATCGAATATCCGGTACCTCCAGAGTTCAATGCCGACCTTTTCTGCAGAGCGCCACAACGCCACGCTGTGGCACATAGTACAATGAAGCAGCAGTAAAACATTCTTTAGACAACTGGGCACCAGATAATGTGGCAATCGAAACAGAAATAATTTCACTCCATACATGATGTAACACGCATCTGGATCTGACGATTCACTTTCGCGACCGGGTTATAGATCGCGGTTCGATCATGGATGCTTAAATAATGTGATCTAGTTTACGAAATCCTCGACATGCTTCGTGACAGCTTCTCGTGCATTGAGTGTTGGTTATTGCAAAAAATATGAGAACTAGTTGCATGGCCCTCAGATATTGTTGTTAACATCTAGTGATTATCTTCATTTGGATTGCACTGACACCGTGAGTTGGTAGAGTGCTGATCATTCTAGATGTACCGGATTTAGGCCCCAAGAGCAGCGTATAAACTTTCTTTTACTCGCTGCTAATTCAACACTAATTTTCTGCTTTTATGCACCTAACTAGGAAATGGGTAACAGGTCCTTTCGTTGCAGCGATATGGGTAGCATGCTGAGGTCTTAATCTTAACGGCACTTGCAATAAATGAAGTAATTTTGTGTACTTCTGTCACCTCACCGTTACTCTTTTAACCGGTTCTACCGACGTCCCGGTTCGCTGTTTTG